AGGGCCAGGGGCAGGCTGTTCTCAGCGCCCTGTGCTTTATTTACTTGCTCGTCATTGTGCAAAGGTTCCCATCACCTGCTCCCCGCACCGGGTGAGAGGGTGACAGGTCACTGGGGAGGCTGCTCAGAGGGGGCCCAGGACCTGGTCTGCCCTCTGCTGGCCCTTGACTTCTGCATGTGGGGCCCTGGCTCCTGGGCCCCCGGCGTGCTGAGTGCTGATGCAGGATGCCCTGGTCACTGGGGCCCGGGTCGGTGTCGCGTGCCCATCCGCCCTGCTTGTCAGGACACGTGGTGGAGGAGGGGACCCTCTGGGGACACCAGAAGGCCTGCGTGGCCCCAGAGGCCTGGGCACAGAAGCAAGAACAGTTTTCCGCGCCTGCGCTGGCCTCTCCAGCTTTGGAGTGGCTGCTGGACCTGGTGCCTCAGTGGCAGGAGAGACGGTCGCCTGGTTTCCCGGTGTATGCATCTGAGTGCGTTTCTGAGAGTGCCGCCGGCCGCTGGAGCGTCCCTGCCCCTCCTGTCACACAGAGCTGTGAGATCTCACACACACACACACACACACACACTCTCTCTTACACTCACAACACACAACACACAATACACTCACACACACTTGTTCACACACACAACACACACATAGGACACACACTCACACAACACACACATACCCTTACACACTCACACTCATTCACACATTGCACACATGCAACCCACACTCTCACACACACGACAGACACATATGACATATACACTCGCACACACACCCACACTCACACACACAAATTCTCACACATAACACACTTATTTACACACTCACATACACAACACACACTCATTCACACACAACACACATGCAACACACTCATACACACAACGCATGCAACACACCCATAAACTCACACATACAAACACATGTAACACACACTCATTCACACACTCACATACCCAGCCACGCACTCTCACAACACCCACCCACACACTCACATACACTCACACTCACACACACTCTCACAACACACATGACACACATACAATGCTCACACACACCCACACATGCACATGACTCACAATTCACACACAACACACATATGCACATGACTCACACATACACTCACATACGCACATGACACACACACTCACACATGCACATGGCCCACACACACACTCACACACACCCCTCTGTGTACTGCAGCTGCAGCGGCTTCCTCCTCCTCTCATTTGGAGTCGGCCCCGTGGGGGCCTTTTCTTCTCTCCCCTGTGATTTGTGGTCTTGCTGGCGCTGGCGCCTTGGACCCACAGGCCCTCGAGGGCAGGTACATGGAAGTTCTCTGCCAAATATTTACTGAATGGCTGAGGTCAGGGGTAAATGAATTCTGGATGGGGGAAGTGTCAGGGCTGGAGGAATTGGGGCCGACCCAGGTTTTGCGAGTCCCGGGCTGGGCCTGGGGCCAGCTCGTCCTGCCTCGGCTGCTTGGCCGAGGGACAGCACACCAATTACCCCATACTCTTTCCAAGAACTCACGCTCCCCTTTCTTGCTCTGAGTCGAGCAGCAGGCCCTGGTTACCACTGACCCCTCGCTGCACCTGCTGGTAGGAGCAGGGGGGATTCTGAGATGACCACGTGGCATGGCCCTGCCTCACAGTGGGGCTGGTTCAGGCTTCTCCCAGGCTCATTCGAAGGACCAGAGACCATCATCTTGGCCAACTTCTCGAAACCAGGGGTGTCTCCTGGGCCTCATCACGGTCACTCAAGCTCTGGAGAGGATGGTTGCTCTCTGTCTCCTGGCATCCATTGGGGATGGGCCAAACTTGTGCATGATCACCATGGGCACTCGGAGTGACAAGGCTGCTGGTGGGGGCAGTGTTTCCGGGGTGACCACTGGACGTTCAGCATCTGGGTGGTAGCCAGACACTCTTCCAACCCTGACAGGTTCTGAGGATAGATGTCTTGGGCTTGTGCAAAAGCGGAGGTAATTTTAGGAGGCATGACTTCTTTTCTGGGCTGTGTTTTCACAGTCTGTTCACTCTTTCCTCCATTTGATCAAGAAATACTGAATCTGCCCTGCGCCAGCTCTGCTCTAGGCCCTTGGGCTTCCCCCTGAACAGGAAGTCCCAATCTCTGCCTTCAAGGAAAAGAAACATGGCCGTAAAAGGTACAAGAGGAAAACATCTCCCTGATGCTGAGTACAGTGAGGATGCGAGTAGGCTGGTGGGTGGGATACAGAGGGGTGGGGTCTTAACCTCAGGGTGGGCACAGAGGGACTTTGTGAGATGGAGATGTGTGTGCACACAGGCCTGCATGGGGACAAGGGGCCAACCGTGCAGAGGGCTGGGGCAGCACATTCCAGAATGTTCTATCTTAGCAGAGGCATTGGCAATGGCATCTGGGGACTAGTTGCTTAAAGGGGCTTAACAAGCTTTGTTGACACTAAAAAAAATGGGTTTTTAAAAATCAGGATAAAAGAATTTCATGCCCAAACAGAACTTGGAAACTCCCATGTTCATTATTTGACACGCTGAGTGGCATGTGTGTGTGTGTGTGTGTGCATGGGTGTGCATAGGGGGGCATGGTCTTCAACTTGACTCCCCTCACCAACCTGATGTACAGCCCTGCACTGCACGCCCAGCCTCCTCTGTCTCAAGATGAACTGGTGTCAGCTCATCAGCAGCAACCTGAAAATAACCCATCTTCCAGGAGTCGTGTCCTCAGAGCTGGCCGCAGGGCCGCCCTTGGAAGTGGGCCACCCTGTTGGCTTGGGTCTTTCCCAACTTCCACAGAGCTGTTGGGTGGAATTTGGGGTCACAATGAGCGTTTTCTCAGGAGAGGAATCAGTACAGCTGGATGGAGCTTGAGGGTGGAGAAGGGCTTCCATGCAGGGTGCAGGGAGCTACTGGGGTTTGGCTAGAGCCTCCAGCCCCTTCCCTCCTCTGAGCCTGCTCCTCCATGCTGGACAGTGGGTGCCGCATGTCCTGGGGCCACCACTGCATCTGCAGGGCAGAGGGCAAGAGCTGGCACCCACAGTGGGCATTGGGCAAGTTTGTTGAATAAATGCAAGAATCTCCATTGGAAATCAACTCTTTTCTGGGCCAGCTCCAAAATGGGCCTTTTAAAAAATTTGAGTGTAGACTGTCACCAGGCACAGAAAGGAAAGATGGCAACTTGGGAGTCTTCTTCTACTGTAAGTGGCCATGCATGTGCGTGTGTGCTTGTGTGTGTGCACGCGCATTGTGGACACAATTGTCCATGGCACCATTCATGGACACACCTGACCCTATGCCATGGCTGCATGCAGGCTCTCTCCCTCTTAGAAATAAACATCAAAGTCATTTATTTCCCCTCCTCGCAAGGTGCATGCACAGTCCATCTCTGGCCAAGGAAGTCAGGTCTCTTGTTGCAGAGCCTCCCTGCCATGCACAGTCTGTCTGGTGGTCAGGGGCAGAGCTGGGGCTGAACATGCTTCCTCCAGAATCCATCCGTGACCTTTGGGGAATCTCTTGGCCTTTGGGGAATCTCTTGGCCCAGGACTCAGTCCTGGTTAGGGGTCAAGTTCTGCTCCTGATCCATATGGCCAACATTCCCAAAGAGGAGAGAGATGCAGCACCTGTTCCAATGGCAAGAAAGGAACTTGGGCTCCTTCCAGTGGAAGGCACCCCTGGAGACACAGGGACCCTCAGGCTGGGGTTCAATGCCTTTCCAAGCAGAGCGCCCCACATGCCGTTCTGCACAGGCCGAAGGAGGGCAGAGAAGACTATTAAGGACAATTACACAGACCAGCTTTGATTGTTAGCGTTTAACAAACAGCTTTGAGTTCTAATTTTCTGCAAAACACATACTGCAGGTACAATTTGTACTCATTACCGTATATTGGGAAAGTTATTAAAAACACTCCAACTTGTTGGAGAGTTCCTATGGCATCAGCCCTGGATTTTAATTGGTTTTTATCTAGTTCTATAAAAGATCTCTCGAAGCCCAATCCAAGTCCCTGCCCTGGATATCATGCCAGCTAAAGGACAGGGAGCGAGCCTGCGATGGGATAGGGTGAGTCCTCCCCTCCTTCCAAACTGGAGCAGTGTCAACAAGCCACAGGGAGATAATTTATCCTCCTTGGGATGGGCACAGTTACCAAATGACAAAGTAACAGTGTTTCGTAACATAAGGGTTAAATCTTAATCTCTGAGGTTTGCAAAGCTGCTACTCGCAGTCTCCTTAAAATTTAATATACCTCGTTAATGCTTCCTTGCAAACACTGAAGGATTTTTATGATTATAATCATGTGTTACAGCACCTAGTACTGTTTCTAAGCAGCATACTAATCAGCTTAATGAGATATTACTGCACTTTTTGTTGACTAAAGCAAAATCCCTTTTATTGTTCTAAAGCCTGTCCTTTACTTTATTTTTTCCCAAAACATTATCTTGTTTTATTATGTACCAGTAAATATCATGCCATTGGTGCGTGTGGGTTTTTTCCTTTCCTTTCCTATTTTTTTTTTTTTTTGGCCAAATCATAAAGTGATCTCTTTCATCTCAGACTGGTGAGTGTGTGGAATATAGAACCCTGAAACAAAAGTTCCAAGGGCCTCTGGGCTAGCCGGGAAGCCACTCTGCTCTTAGGCAAACTTTGGCCAGCACCAACAGGTACAGGTGCTACCATGAGAAGCAAAGGAGGCTACATGTTCCACCCAGACCCTTGATTTGTTATTAGGTGTTGTTGAAAGTGGTAAAACATTAATGATTTAAATGCGAATGAGTAATTGCAGTCTGTAAATAGAAAATAACAAGGAAGACGATCTCTCGCCACAACAAATTGGAGGAGCAATGCCATATTGCATAATTGGCATTTAATAATTCATTTTTTATGATTGTTTTTGACTTTAACTCCGTAGCATTATCATGTGTAGGTGAGGAAGGCGAGAAATGCGGATTCCGCACCAGCGCATGGCGTCGCTTCGCCGAGCCACGGTTCCTGGCACCCATCTCAACCCTTGTCTTCCTTTGCAGGGATGGAAGAAGCGAGCCTGTGCCTTGGCGTGTCTTCGGCGGCGCCGGAAGCCGAGCCCCACCTGAGCGGCCCGGTCCTCAACGGCCAGTATGCCATGAGTCAGAAGTTGCACCAGATTACATCTCAGCTCAGCCATGCCTTCCCGGAGCTGCATGCGCGGCCCGGCGCCGAGGAGAAGGCCCCTGCGCCCCTGGAGGAGAAGGCGCATGTGCCCATGGGCGGCCAGCCCCTGGGCAGTCAGATGGCGCTGTTGGCCAACCAGCTGGGCCGCGACGTGGACACCAGCCTCAACGGGCGGGTGGACCTGCAGCAGTTCCTCAACGGGCAGAACCTGGGCATCATGTCGCAGATGAGCGACATCGAGGATGACGCGCGCAAGAACCGCAAGTACCCGTGCCCGCTGTGCGGCAAGCGCTTCCGCTTCAACAGCATCCTCTCGCTGCACATGCGCACGCACACGGGCGAGAAGCCCTTCAAGTGCCCCTACTGCGACCACCGCGCCGCGCAAAAGGGCAACCTCAAGATCCACCTGCGGACGCACAAGCTGGGCAACCTGGGCAAGGGGCGCGGGCGGGTGCGCGAGGAGAACCGCCTGCTGCACGAGCTGGAGGAGCGGGCCATCCTGCGCGACAAGCAGCTCAAGGGCAGCCTGCTGCAGCCGCGGCCGGACCTCAAGCCGCTGCCGCACGCGCCGCAGGCCCCGCTGGCCGCCTGCAGCCTGGCGCTGCCCGCCGCCGCCCACGGCGTGCCAGACGCCACCAATCCGGTGCCCTCGCCCAAGCCGGCCAGCGCGCAGGAGGACGCCGTGGCCCCGGCGGCCGGCTTCCGCTGCACCTTCTGCAAGGGCAAGTTCAAGAAGCGTGAGGAGCTGGACCGGCACATCCGCATCCTGCACAAGCCCTACAAGTGCACGCTGTGCGACTTCGCCGCCTCGCAGGAGGAGGAGCTCATCAGCCACGTGGAGAAGGCGCACATCACGGCCGAGTCGGCCCAGGGCCAGGGCCCCAATGGCGGCGGCGAGCAGTCGGCCAACGAGTTCCGCTGCGAGGTGTGCGGCCAGGTGTTCAGCCAGGCGTGGTTCCTCAAGGGCCACATGCGTAAGCACAAAGACTCCTTCGAGCACTGCTGTCAGATCTGTGGCCGGCGCTTCAAAGAGCCCTGGTTCCTTAAGAACCACATGAAGGTGCACCTCAACAAGCTGTCGGTGAAGAACAAGTCCCCCAGCGAGCCCGAGGTGCCCGTGCCCATGGGCGGCATGGCCCAGGAGGCGCACGCCAATCTGTACTCCAGGTACCTCTCCTGCCTGCAGAGCGGCTTGCTGGCGCCGGACAAGGCGAGCCTGGGCGAGCCTGGCCAGCTCTACGGCAAAGGGGAGCTGGCCCTAAAGGACAAGGAAGTGCTGGGGAAGCTGCTGTCTCCTGCGTCCGGCGTGGCCCACGGCCTCCCCGAGGGCGCAGGTGGCGGAGGAGGCGACAAGCACTCGCTCCTGGGCTGCCTCAACCTCGTGCCGCCGCTGAAATCCAGCTGCATCGAGCGGCTGCAGGCGGCTGCGAAGGCTGCGGAGATGGACCCTGTGAACAGCTACCAGGCTTGGCAGCTCATGGCCAGGGGCATGGCCATGGAGCACGGCTTCTTAGCCAAGGAGCATCCGCTCCAGCGCAACCATGAAGACGCGTTGGCAAACGCCGGAGTTCTGTTTGATAAGGAGAAGCGGGAGTACGTGCTGGTGGCGGCAGATGGCTCCAAGCAGAAAATGCCTGCTGATTTGGTTCACGGCTCGAAAGTGGGCAATCCGAGGGACTTGCCGAGCAAGCTGGACCCCTTAGAAGGCAGTCGGGAGTTTTTGTCCCAGGGGCTGGGCCAGACGCTCGACTACAACCTGCAGGGCCCCGGCAACATGAAGGAGAAGCCCACCGAGTGTCCCGACTGCGGCCGGGTGTTCCGCACCTACCACCAGGTGGTCGTACACTCCCGCGTCCACAAGCGGGACCGCAAGAGCGACGAGGACGGGCTGCACGCCGGGCTGGAGGAGCGGCGCGGCTCCGGCAGCGACCAGGAGTCCCAGTCGGTGAGCCGCTCCACCACGCCCGGCTCCTCCAACATCACCGAGGAGAGCGGCGTGGGAGGCGGCCTCTCCCAGACCGGCAGCGCCCAGGAGGACAGCCCGCACCCCTCCTCGCCGTCCTCCTCAGGTACGTAGGCCGGGAAGACGCGGGCCGCCGCGGGCGCCCAGAGCTCCGCCGGGCTCTGAGGTCAGTGTGGCTGGGTGGCGGGCGGTGGAGGCAGGGCCCTGCCTGTCTTCCCTGCCTCGAGGGAAGAGCTGTGCGTTCTCCTCCCTGGCCTGCCCTTGGGCACTGGCTTCTTGGGAAGTCCGCCGGGCACACCTCCTCTTCCTCCCCTGGGGTGCGGATGGCCAGGCTGCCACAGTGCCCAACCCATCTGCAGCTTGACCCCGTACACTGTTACCAGGAGCTGGCGTTGGGCTCCCTGCATGGGTGTTCCTGGGTCCAGACTCCCGCCCGCCCACCGTCTTCGGCTTTGCTTATCCCCCCCACCCCCCCACCCCCCACCCCCGCCCCAGTGCCCTCCTTTGCGCACGCGCGCGTTCCCTTCACCGGACCACACCCATCGCCCATCCCAGTTAAGAATGACCTCCTGGCTTACCCATCAGGTGGGTGGGACCTGGGGGAGGGGCGTGGGTGAGCTCCAGTTTGTTCTGTCAGAGGTTTGCCCCACAGATGCTTGCTCGCGTGTCTTAAACTCTGCCGTGTTCCACGGGGGATACGGCTGGAGGGATCTAAAATAGCAGAACGGGAAATCTGTCATCAAAATGTCTGTGAAATAGTGAAGCTTCCTGGCCCCGGCTGACACCCCCCCCCCCCCCACACACACGTCCACGATTGCTAAATTAAAATCGCTACCCAACAGCAGGTAAGAGGTTGCCTTCATCCGCATTTCCAAAGTCCCTTACTAATGGATGGTAAATTGAAAGTTATATCTCTCGCCCTTTATAAAGAAAGCACCTCGCTAATACTGTAATCATTCTGCAGCCTAACAACAGAGGAAATCATGCCATAACAAATACCCTGTTACTAATGGCAACATTGATTTCTACAATCAGCCATTAAGTCTAGAAAATGAAAGACAGTTTGAGGCACCTCGAGGCACTGCCTTGCCCACTGTTCAAGATGTGGTAGCACACTGTTGAGGGTCATTTTGGAAAAGTTTTTTCTTCTCTTCTTCCCTACCCCCCACCCCCACCCCTTAGCAGTTTTGAGAAATCTCCTAGTTTGGGAGGCAATTCAGTAATTCACTGCTACAGTTATTAAGTAGACGCCAGTTGAGTTTTGTTGTGGTTGTCGTCTTTGTCGTCATCAGCTTACACTTCTTCTGGGACAAAATTAGTACTGAAATCAAGTGTGAGTGTGCCGGCTTATTGCAAACCAGTAAAGAATTGTCCGACGCATAAATCTGAGCTGCACATTCCAGAGATTCCGATAGCACTTAATGCGGCTGCTTAAATACCCATGAAACACACTGTCTACTCCTGGAGTCCGGGACTCCTTGGCGATTTATTACTGGTGAGACAGTGTGGAAGAGTCTCCCCCAGCGCCGAGCGCACCGCAGAGGGGTACCGTCCCACCAGGGTGACCGACTGCTGCCTGGAACACTCTGCAGGGCAAAGCTGGGGCTCTGGAGATGCCCGGCTCCTTGTGGGAGCTGGAGCCCCCCTCCCCAGGAGGAGGGACAGCCGGGTGCCAGGCCTCCTCGCTGCTTCTTCCATGGGGTGCAGCTTCACTGCATATTGGAGCTGGGAGCTTGTCGGGGCAGAGGGCAAAGTGACTAAAACCCTAAGTGTTCGTGGAGTTCACTCTGACAGCTCTCCAGTCCCTCTCTGGGACCTGCCGAAACCGGAAGGTCTTGCCAAAGTGCTCAGCTTCATCAGTGATGGGCTTCTGGCCGAGCGATAGCCCCGTGCTATTCCTCTCTCTGTTGCCTCCCTCTCTCTGGATACCCTGGGCTGGGGGGGGAGCCCATTTTGCTGAAAAGAACCAGCCGTGTACTTATAACTCGGCGGAGACTCTCACTTGAGTTGTGGTTATCGTCTCACTTCTGTTTCCCTCATTGAAGGATTTTACAATTGTGAATACTGATTCTTTCATTTCTGGTTGACTTCTTTGTTTTCTTCATATTCAAATGAGACCCTTTCATAATTTTCTGACTAAGTAGGAAAATTGATGGCGGACCAATATGCAGCCCAAGTCAGCTGTGCGCCTGCAGCATTCAGGTTTTCCTGGGATCTGGGACTCTTAGCCAAATCTGGTTAGCCTTCCCTCTTATTCCTAACAAGTCTGACTTGTAGGAAGTGCGAGGAAAATAAGCATTTAAATAAAAAATCTTGACACAATAGCTATTTTATTATTACCTGTTAGAGAGAAGCCTGCAAGGTGAAGGGGAGGAAAAAAAACATTTTTAAGCCCTTAAGTAAAGAAAGAAGTACTTATTAAGGCTTCTATTAAGAAATAACTGGAAAACACGGTTTTACAAATTTCTCAGACTGCATAACAATGTCACAAAACTTCATTTGCATCACTTGATTCTTTTTTTGTTGAAAACTGGGTCAGTAGGGCCTGAGAAAGTATTTTTTCAGATCTCAACCAATGAATTCTTCTTTATAAAACGCTGCTCTTAACATGATAGTAGTTCTGAATTCATCATAAAAACCCTTTTTGCCAGAGCCTCTTAGAACAGATCTCTAGAAGAAGGCTTACAATGAGTGGCAGAGGCGTCCTTTGTTATCTGATGTAATTCTTTGCAAAGGAGATTGGGAACGGAGTGGCTGTTAAAAATGTCTTGCTCAGACCGAGACGAAGAAGGGGGTCAAGTTTGCAATCAAACAGTTATTGCCGAGATGGGCGACTGTCACTGGCTAGGCTAATGTGGGATGCAGCTGTTTGTTATGTGAGCAAAAGAATGTTTGAATCAGTGAACATGTGAAAATGATTCCAGTGAACCAGAAAATGTGTTTGTTCTTGGCTTTCCAAACTGCTGAGAACCAAGCTTAAGATCAACTGCGAAAACCAGGACCTTTGACAAATTGAGAGGTCATATTTTCTAACAGAAAACGGACAAAACTGGTCACACAGATCACTTCCCCATCTTTTCCTTTTGTTTTATTTTTGGTGTGGTTGTTTCTTTTTCTTTTTCTTTTTTTTTTTTTATCTGATTTGCCAATAATTTCCCACCCTCGTAGATGCCATGTCGGCCTCCCTGCCCAATGCAAAGGGAAACTATTTGGAAGGCAGCAGCTTATAAATTTTACTCTTTTATGACATTTAGAGAGCGGGGTGGCTGTTTTGAGGCTTCTTCGTTTCTGGCTTTGCGTGCAGAGGTTCTGATGGCATTCATCTTTGCATCTCTCCCTAAAACCTCCTCTAAGCCCGGGCTCAGATCCTGGCTTTGTTGGGAGTTGGGGAAATGACCAAAGTTCTTTTCCTTCAGATTTTGCTTTGGAGATCACACTCCCAATAATTAAAACTTAATGTACTAAGAAACGATACTGTTCATTATATCCAACAGGGCAGTTACCTTCCGAATTCCCCGTAATTTTGGAGTGGGGATAATTGAAGTGCTGATGGTGGGAAGGGGTAATTGAATGCATTGACCCTCTGTTCATTAAATAAAGTCGGCTAAGTTGCATGATCAATGGAAAGCCAGGGAGAGATGCAAAGAGGAAAATATCGTTAACCCCTGCTACCTCTGCTGTAATATTTTGAGATGGGCGAGGGTTATTTGATCAGCTGGGCTGAAAGCCCGGCCAGGGCTTCTTTTGTTGCCTGAACCGCATTCCTGACGTGTTGGGTCTCCATCCTGTGTAGGCCCATTGACCACAGCCTCAAAGGCCTTCTTCTCCCGGACCCCCGTGCATTTACATGTGGTGTATAGTGATATGATAGATCTTCTTTCTGTTCCTCGTGTGGCTCCCCCTCCCCAGCCCTTGCCCCCCTACCCCCCCGCCCCCCATTCATGATCAACACAGCCTGGCCCACACAAACAAATCCAGGCATCTAAAAGGAGGGGGAAAAAAAAGGAAAAAGAAAAAAAAAATTTAAGTCTGAGGATTAAGATCTTCATTTTTTTTTTTTTTGCTTGTGCATTCCAATTGTTCTTAAAATATTTGGCAATGTCAATTAGTAACTGAGCAGAGTTAGCTGATGAACACAATTTTCCAGTAGACTGAGCACCCTATTGTTGCCTGGCGAACAGCAGATTTCTGAGGTCATTATCATTCGCTGGTTGCTTGGCCCAGCTGCTTCCTGCTGCAAAAGCCAAACTTTATACTGGAGCTCAGGGATGGCTGCAGCAACAGGGGGCTGGGAGGGGGGAGAGGGGAGCTGGCTGCAGAGCCGAAGACAGGCATTACCAGCGGAGGAAACAGAAAGGAAAAGTTTCCAGGGAATTCCAGGAAAACTGCCCCGTCAGACTCCTGCTTCCTGTTCCTCCCGGCTTCCTTTCCACCTCCAGGCAGGCGAGAGGAAGGAGCCGGGGGACACCCGCGGGCCTCGTGGGCACTAATCTCTGGGCTGGGCAGAACCCTGGGAAACAATGACCCCATTTATGCGTGTCCTTAAGGCACGGTAGCCCCGATCCGAGGCATGTGAGCCAGGGACTGCCGCCAAGACAGGCTTCTTCACTTTTATATGGAAAGCATGGGAAAGAGGTTGCTGTTTAAGATGATATTCGGAACTTGAAAACAGGGATGACAAAGCGAGAACCTCATGGCATTTTCCAGAGGGTGTTTTTTTTTTTTTTTTTTTTTTGGAGCAGACACTAGGCTGAAATTCCGTATCAAATCAGACGTAGCGTCCAGGGCTGCCTCTGCCCACCCCGGCTTCTGTTTCTCCCGGACCTGTCCCCGGACTGTCCCCTGGCTCCCCGGCCCCCTCCCCACCTCCTAGGTTGGGAGCTGGTTCAGTGAGATGAAAAGCTGCACTTTTTTTTAAAGCTCAGCTGTTAAAGCCCAGCGCCATATGCAGCCCGCGCGCGTCCCTGCCGTGGGAGTGTGTGCAGGCGGCCTCCATGTTTGCGGAGATTTACGGGGCTCTGCTTGTGTGTGCCGAAGCTGTGCCCAGACGGACGGTGGCCAAGGCCCTGCCTCTGAGCCGCAGGCCCAGGTGGCTGCCTGCCTGCG